TTACTACATAGAAACCTTGAAGAGGAAATATACATGGAGTTCCCACCTGGGTTTAACTTTGAGAAAGGAAAAGCTTGTAAGCTAAGGAAGGATTTTTATGGACTGAAATAGTCCCCCAGGGCCTAGTTTGGCAGGTTTACTATTGTGATGACAAACATATGGTATAAACAAAGTCAAGGAGATCATACTTGGTTTACTAAGCATTCAGCCTTAGAGGGAGTTACTACACTAATTGTTTATAATTATGATATAATTGTAACAGAAAATCATCAAGCAGAAATATACAGCCTAAAAGTGTGTCTGCTAAAAAAGTTTGAAGTAATAGAACTTGGCAGATTAAAATAATTTTTGGTCCTTGAGGTGACACACTCTCATCATGGTAATTTCATCTCTCAACAGAAATATGTGTTAGATTTATCATCTATAACTTGTAAACTAGGATGCAAACAAGTAGAAACTCCAATTAAACAAAATCACAGATTTAGCGGGTGTGTTTAAGATGCAACTGTGGACAGGGAATCCTAATAGAAGTTGGTTGGAAATTTAATCTATTTATCTCACACTAGGCCATACATATCTTATATAGTGAGAGTGGTAAGTCAATTCATGCATAATCCCAAATAAAATCATCTTAAAGTTGTTTATTGAATTTTGAAATACTTAAAGGGCACTCATGGAAAAGGAATTATTTTTATAAAAGGTCAAGGAATTACTTTTATAGCCTACACATATGTTGATTATGCTAGATCTGTATATAGAAGAAGATCCACCTTCTAATATTATACTTTTCTTGGAATAAACTTTGTGACTTGGAGGAGCAAAAAATAAAATGTTGTAGCGAGGTCAAGTGCAGAAGAAGAATTTTGGGCTATGGCCTTAGGAATTTGTGAAATGGCGGAAAATAGTTCTACATGACCTAATGATTGAATGGAATGGACCCATGAAACTATATTGCAATAAAAGCAAGCAATAAACATTGCATATAATCCAGTGCAACATGATAGAATGAAACACGTCGAATTACACAAACATTTCATCAACGAAAAATTGCATAATGGGACATTATATATACCATTTGTATCCACGGGAAATCAGCTGACAGGTGTTCTTACGAAAGTATTAAATGGTTCTACATTTCAATCTATCATCAACAAGTTAGGGACGGTAAACATCCACTCTCTAACTTGAGAGGGAGTGTCAAAACCAATTGTACATTAATTAGATGTATATTTTGTATTTAAATAGGATTAATATCTTTAATATGAGACTTGATTTGTTGTATTATTAGTCTTTATAGAAAGCATTGAACCTTAATTATAGAATTGAATATGGGCAATGATTATAATTTATTAGGAACTTCCTTTGTAATTACATTGTATCATATTTAAAAGCATAAGCTCTTCTATCAATTCATCAGAAAAATCAACTCTGACAGATACCCTGAGAGAAATTTATGAATTGTGTGATATCCTATAGTACCATTCTATGCACCCATCCATACACTACCCATGAAAAACCATAGCCACTGGATTTATTTATTTATTGTAGCTATATAATTCACCATGTTAGCACACAACTGCCCATCAAAGCTAGATGGTAAAATATGCATTGGTCTTGGTATTCCATACACGTAGTCAACTTGGAGAAGAGACCACTTAGAAAGATAATAAAACAGTGTACTCTCCTAACATAGATAACCTGATAATAATGCATTGTCGTTAGATTTCTGATGCCCCTGATGGTATGCATATGATATTCGAATCACATCATCAAGGGTGAGAGCATCAATCCTGCACATGTACTCTTGAAAACCATATAATGGGTATGTTTAGCAACCCACTTGGTCGCTAGTGGGGAGCCATGTGTGATAGAACCTATATCATACTTGTCACCAATAGAGGGGAAATTCTCATAGATCCAACACTGCATTAAAACATACAATTTGAAAATTGCATAACTTTACATTAATACTTAAACAAAAAAAAAGAAGAAATATCTATAGTTGAGACTGGCTCATATAACCAACAAGTCACCTTATATCAAATGTAATAACCTCTTCAATATCATGATAAATAACTATTACTAAAACATGTCTTCATGCCAACCTATTGAGTTTAAGTTTGATAAACAAGAATATATATATATATATATATATATATATATATATATATATATATATATATATATATATATATATATATATATATATATATATATATATATATATATATATATATATATATATATATATGAGACTTATCTACCATATTAGTATATTGTATCAGATGCGACATGTATACTCTGGAGGCCTTCTAGTATATATCAAAATCTAATAATGATGTTTAAGTCTCCCGGAGCCTAGAAAGACAAAAATGAACATCCCTGTTAAATTTAAACTCCTCTGAAATGTTTCCCTATGTAACCTCATATATGTCTTTGCACTCATGTCAACTAGTTCAACACTTATCAATGAAGAACTACAGAAAATAACACAAATTAGAAATTTTAAATTAAGATTTTTATGAAGCTTGATTCGAATAATACCTTCTAGTGATTCAAATCAAAGATCAACAGAAAGTCGATAATTTGTTCTGTTGGCCAGATTCAAATCAGGGATGTGTGTGATTTGAATCACAACACTTCTTTACTCGATTTATAAGACTTTTGATTCGAATCATGTGATCTAAGAATATTTTGAAATACAACTATGATTCAAATCATGCTTCAACTTGACCCAAATCATAGACTGGAATATTGATTTAAATCAAATGAAAAATTCCTCACTTTACTACCTTTGATTGAAATAATTCTTTATTTGATTCAAATCATAACCTCGTGATTTGACTCAAATCATTTTATCTTTTCTTCACCCGTTTTGTACCTAACCTCTAACACCGATTTAAATCCTTAGTGTAACTTTGTAAGGTTAATTATCAAGTTGATCATTAGACATACAATATGGCTAGCGAGTTAATCTTGTTAATTAACCAAAGGATATTGGTCAAGAAAGAGAATTCTCTCAATGAGGTTCTTCTAGAGCGAGATCTATTGAGATTTATATCTATACTTTCAAAAATCTTGAGAAAAATTATGAGAGTTATTTCCATTCACAAACATACTTCCTCTTTGATTCAACCTTGTGAACAAATTCCTATAATATTGATATTGTGAGAGTTTATCTGTGTATGTGAGATTATTTATATATCCTTCATCATCTACAATCTTGTACCAAGAAAACATTTATGGTGTTCAACTCTAAAGATTGAGTGTAAGAGATAGATCCAATATGTATTAGGGAAGCTAATATTTTTTTGTGAAGTTTTATCATGAGTATTAGAAAAAAGAATCACCTTTTATCTATGGTATAGGGTGGTGATTGTCAAGCAAGAGAAGTGATTCTCTTTACTCCATGGAAGACTTCAGCGGAAGTGAGCAAAGGTTGTCGCAGAACGAAGTTGGTAGTTATCTAATGATGCTTATGTAGAACAATCGCTCAGACAAAGTCATGTAGAATCTAGTAATGGTTATTGTAGAACGGAGGCTTGGAGCAGGATTATTGTGTCTAGAAAGAAAATTGATCAAGATTATTGAAGATATTGAATGTGTGTAGTTGAGTAATCTACTTCAATAGAAGGGAAAGTCAACTTATATTTGTGTTGGCTAAAGTCTGGGCTGGTAGTGTTCGAATTATTGATTACCCGTTGTACTAAAATGTTTGTATCATTATCTTTTAAATAGTGGGAGACCTTCTAATTTTCAATAGTGAAACCATTAAAGAGTGCACTAAGCTCTAGCGAGGACGAATGAGTTGAACCGCTATATATTTGATGTACATTTTTCTTCTCTCTTTCTTTTTAATTTTCAACATTTTATCGTATGATTTAAATTTGTTGATCTTTAGAATTTCGTCTAAATTATTGATCTTACTTATAGTATTTTATCATATAAATTTTTAGGTATGTGATGTATCTAATTCAATGACTTCTATATTCCTTGATTATAATTATATAAAGACTTTAATTTTAAATTAATCAATCTTTCATTAAATGATTCATGATAGATAGATAGATAATGAAACATATAATCCTTGAATCCATTCACTATATTTTACTTCTGCATGCCACTTTAGTATGTGCCTATATTTCAGCATGATCAATTATGTGCCTCGTCATCATCACCTCTAAAATATTTCCCTCTACTGCCTCTACGATGAAGAGTTTGTGATCCATGAATTTGTTTTGTTCTTTGCGGCGAGAATCAGTGACAGCTAATCCACTTATCCTAAGACAAAAAAGACCATGACCAACATCATATGCGTCATCAACAAATCTCATAGTAGAAACACTATCAAATTTGTCACTCAGTCTCGAAATAATGTTACTGTCTCTTCCTTATATATAGTTGAAAATTCAAAATTTTAGCAATAATTTAAAAAAGTTCTTAAAAAATAATTAAGTTTGACAGATTTACTATTTTTAGTTAAAATACAATATAGTTATTTCAGCACATGTGTAGGGGTGGCTGCACATGTCTAGGGGTGTGGGGTACAGCTCATATTATTGACTAGTATGTCTTCTAATGTAGGTAATCTAGGTCCGGAGTAGGCCCGTGTTAGCCCAATGTTCTTTTGCCTCAACAAGCATTGGATAAATGACCTTTTTTCTAGAAGCAAAATTCTATTAAAAAAGGTTGCAAATATTGAACCAAACTTAAGTGTAGTGTGTTTGCTAGAGACAATGCTTCAACCAAAAGAACTTCAAATTTGGTGTAAAATAAATTTCATCAAAAGCTAGGAAAGATATTATATACATCTCAGCTGCAGAAAATCAATGTTGACATGGCATGGCCTATTATACATCACCAAGTGAATATGAAAGCGATAATAATACATAGAAAGAATTTGAATCCAATCTAGTTAAAAACATTCTTCTATAGAACCAGAAAATGAGACCACTAATCTATATTTCGAAATCAGAACAATCCCTTTACGACATCTTGGTTCACCGTTGCCTTGCTTCTGGTTCTTCGGAAGTTGGTTGTATGGTGTTAACAGTAGGTTCAACATCTGTGGTCCTTTCTGATACGTGCGGCGGTTCGTCAAGAGGTTGACTCGTGGTGAATGTCACAGGTCTCACGTGTTTTGTTTCGGACGAGTTTTTCAATGGAAGACGACAAACTGGACAGGTAGATTGTTTCCTCAGCCATATATCAATGCAACAAAGATGAAAAGTGTGGCCGCATTTCGGCATGATACGCAATATTTCTCTTTCTTTGTATTCTGCTAAACATATTACACACCTGTAGAAGCAAACCCAGTTATTTATCTATTCATTGGTTCCTTTTATGCATTAACTTATTAATCTATCAATGAACTGTCTAGATAAACAGGTTATTTAAGCACTTATAACATAATCGCTTATCATATAACATAATTTTGTACAAGTTATTTCTCTAACAAAATAAAGTCAACAGCTTATTTAAGCTCATAACATCACTGCTTATGATTTTAAATAATTTTGTATAAGCTATTTCTATAACAAAAGATAAAATAAAATCAACCTATTTTTTTTCATAAACTATTTTAGAGAACTTATAGAAAAAAAGCTGAATACAGCTCATGAACACGTCATAAGCCGTTTTCATGAGCTCTTCAAAACAGTCTCACAAGTGTTTATATCAATAAACAAGCTCTTATATATCAATTCAAATAGGCTTTTAATCCATCGTGTATTTGTTGTAAATCATGAACTCTTGTCACAAAAGAATAATGTTTAGTTTGCACCAATCAGTCTACAACAAAATGTTAAAATCGGATGATAAGGAAAATATGAGGAACTTTTTCTCTATGACTTAAAATCTATGAAGCACGGACACAAACACCGGACAGTATACTGGCGACACCGATAATCTTTTGAAAAAATTAATAAATTGAATGTAAATTCAAATGTCGTGTTTGATATAGATACACATTTTTTCAAAGGTGTAGGTACTACTGAGCTTACAATTAATTAAAAAAAGACTTAACTGTGTATCTTCAATGGAACTGAAAGCCTCTTGATTGAACTTCAAAGTGGGGATTGCTTCAAGCAGAACTGGTTCAGGATCAGGGTCATTAACATGATGTTCTGGCTATCAGTAAACAATGAAAAATCAAAAACTAAATCACCAAATGACACAGACCAGAAAACAGCTTATTTTCAGCTTAAAAGCACAATCTAGAATGCAGCATTTGCATCACACTCAGAAATTAAAAACAAAAAAACAAAAAATTGTAGATTTCCTTATTCAACCACACTTGAATTATTGGATCAGATTTATAATCTAGAATTCAACATCCTAGACCAAATAAAATTGAGATTATAGTATTGAAAAAAAAGCTTAATTAAACAACAAAAAAAAAACAGAATAAAAAGTCCAAAAAAAAAAGGGTGGATAGTGAAATTACCTGTTCTATATCATATCTTGATTCAATCTGATACATCATCCTAGATTCAACACCACCTCTAAGTCTACCACAAATGATTCTAGTACAGACAAAAACAATGAAAGTGGCACTCATGCCAAATCCAATAACAGTTGTCACTAAATTTGTTCCTGAACCCAACATCTCCAACCACAAAAAAAAAAAAAAAAAAATCAACCCTTGCAAAAAAACCCACAAGTTGAAATACACAAAGGGGTTAAATTAAAGCAAAGGAAAAGAAAAACACATGTTATAGATATAAAAATAGAAACTTTTTGATGTTAGAGTGAGTATATGAGAAAAGAAAAGAAACCCATATGAAATTTATGAAGGAAGATGAGATTGAAGGTGGTGGGGGAACAATAGGAGAGAGAAAGAGCAGTGATAAAAATTGACTCTTTTGATTTTCTCTCACTCTTAGAATATTGTGGGTAGGGTCCACTGTATGATTCACGCAAATCAAGGGTTCCCTCACCGTCCGATCGAGATCAAACCGTTTAGATCCGACGGTATGTTCTCTATGTGAGTGTGTGTTAAATATGGTTGCGGTCGCATAAATATTTTATTTTGGGATTTTAAAATAAAATATTTAATGAAAAAATGGATGATGCATTATTGATAATATAAAAAAAATTACATTATTAAAGGTGGAAAGTTTTACACTGTAATATAACATTATTCATCGTGGCCGAGGTTAAATTTAGAGAAGGAAAAAAAGCTTAACTCCAATTCTGTTTTGAGATATTGAAGAGTTTTCAATCGAAGCGTTGAAAGTGGATATTAATTTCGGCGGCAAAAGATCTTAACGGTACAAAAGGTGAATAGGGGGTTTTGGAAGTAAAAGAGTTTTGATTGATTCCCTACACTCACTCACATGCCTTTCTGAGTTGTCAAATTAGGATAAGTACCACATTTCATGTATTTTGCCTATTTCTAGATACCTTATTGGATTTTCTTATGCTCTATGTATATAAACAAATAAATTTTTAAAATTTCTTATTTAACTCTATGCGAGAAAATTAAATCCTATTCAATTCTTCAAAAATTAAAAATATATTTTTGATTCATATCTTTTTTGAGTTGTATTTATTTTAAAGCTAAAAATATATTTAAGATATAAATTAAAAATATATTTTTGATTCTTATATAAAGCAATATACTTTCTCTAAACAGAGCCTACTTAGATTAGTCACTTAACAATTAAATATATATTTTTAATTTATATCAAAAATATATTTTAAATATTAATTTTATCATAAAATAGACAAATCTCAAAACAAATGATTATATGTAGATGGAGTTGCGAATTAAAAGTGTATTTTCAATTTTCAAAGATATTTTTGAAATTTCAGGTAATGAATAAGAAAAATATGGTTAAATTTTTTTAAAAAATTAATAAAATTAAAGTGGCGTTAAATTTGATTGAATTTTTTTTTTTTAAGTTCGCACGGTCAATATGATTTAAAAATAAAAATTTTAGTTTTGTTGTTTAATATGTATTTTATAGCATATGCTAGTATTTTGTTTAAAGAAATAAGTGCATTGTTCTGGAAAAAGGTGTGATACTTTATCTAGATCTTTGTCTTTTTGTACCGCACTATCACTCTTGTATTTAAGTGGGGAGTGGCATAAGATTTTTCAGTATGTTGATTTTTTAAATCAATCCTTTTTGTAAAGGTTTTTCAACCAAAAAATAATAATTTTAAACACATTATTTTAACAAAATAACAATATAAATAAATAATTTAAATATTACAGTTTTAGGACATTTTAATGTTAGAGAGTGTTAAATAAAGAATTTTAATGAGAAAAAGTAATTTTTTAAAAAATTTTAAAATAATTTATTAAAATTTATTGTTTGAATAAAAAATATAGAGATTTGTTAAAATAATATAAATTTTTAAAATATTTTATTCAAATTAAATTTAAGTAATTTCAAATAACACAACAATATTTTTTATTTATAAAATAATCACTTTTTTAAAAAAAAATTCACAAATAACCACTTTTTCAAAAAATTTACCAAAATAACCACTTTTCAAATAAAAAAATTCGCCACACAGAAGAGTAATCACTCTGTATGGCGCATGCATTCATTTTTAAGAGGAGGCGTCACACCGCATGACTTGTCCTCATCTATAAAGTCATGCAGTGTGGCACATGCATGTATTTCAGAGAGGAGGCGCCACCCTCCTTGACTTGACAGTGTTATTGCATTTTCTATAAATGCAACCACTCATCCTCTTCATTTTTTCACACCATTTGTTACATAAATCTTAGAAAATATCTTCAACTCCCTTGCCAAAGTTTTCACTGATCAAAAGAGATGCGCATGTTATTTTTTCAGCGACAAAGCCTCCGGTGAAGATCAAACTCTGGAACACGTAGACGTTCGAGCATTTTCAGAGGCACTTGATTCGCTGGTTGGAAGGAGACATTCCTGAAGGTGAACAAATTAGAAAAATAGAAAGGCACATCACAGTGAGGAACAAAAATGGAGTAAGCCGATCATGAAAAAAGGTGAAATGTGACGCTGATGTCATGATGATGATGCTTGGACCAGAGAATATTGTGTTGATGGTCTTTATCTCTTAGATATTATGATTTGTTTAGTTGTTTTGTCTGTTTATCTTGTTGTTGTATTGTTGTCCTGAGTATGTGGTGTTGTAATTTTTTGTGTCATAATGTGAAAGTTGTTGTAATCGAATGATAAATTGAACACGAAATGATAACTCGAATTTAAATTGAAATATATTACGTACAACAAATTAAACACTCTGGAAAGTTTGCTATAAAAAAGTTAGGTTGCAGAGCTAGACCCAATATTCAGACAATTTTTTCGATTGTCTCCGGGAAGACGACATGTACTGTATAATCTTATCATTTTATTGGCTGTATCCATTTCAGTTCTAATACGAGTGCTTTTCGGGAGCCCTTTTTCTTCTGTCGCATTTGTTCATTGTGCCAAACAATGTCCCCTTGATAAGCAGGCCAGTAATCCTTCTTTTCCAACACGGAGAAGGTATTGATGTACACACTTAAAACGCTCTTTACCGTGTACACGGGGGATATATATTGTATTGGGTCCAAGCGAACATGCGAACATGCTGCTATGACATGAGAGCAAGGCATGCGAAATGCTTGAAACTTTCCGCAATCACACCAACCTCTATCTAGTTCGACCCGATAATATCCCCTTGGACTCCCCTCATTATGATCCATTGTCTCTTGTACACTGAACCAACCTTTAATACGGTCAAACACGGTGACACTATAGGTGTTTGCTTTCGCAACCTCCTCGTTAAATGTTTTCATCGTGCATTCACTAAACAACTCCCCTGCTTGTAACACTGCCCTCCATTTTGAACTTCTTGGGTCAAACAATGACCCCATCCTGAAATATGTTGCTCTAACCAAAGCAGTAATTGGTAGGTTTCGGATGCCTTTGAATATAGATTTCAATGATTCCACCAGATTTATTGTCATGTGGCCCCATCGTTGACCATTGTCAAGCGCCCGAGTCCACTTCTCCACTGGAATGTTATCGATCCACCATAATGCTTCGGAGTTTGCCAACCGTATTTCTTCATGATAGTATTGGAATGACGGTTCTGTTAAGGCATACCCTGCATTGATAACTTTCTTTCAAAGTGTCTTGTCTTTGATATGGAGCATGAATTTTTGTGTGATATGTCTAATGCAATAGACATGTGTTGAAAGGGGATCCTACCAACCGTTATCAGGATTATTGTATGCACTCATAATCGATGGATGTCTGTCTGAAATCAAACAAAGGCTGGGTTGAGGAGCAACGTGTAATCGGAGATTCTTCAGAAAGAAATTCCATGCACCACTTGTCTCACCTTCAACTAGAGTGCAGGTGTTGTACCCCAAAAATTTTCCTCTCCATTCTCAAGGCATTTTCTCACAAGGATTTATTAAAGGTCAAGATTGCACAAGTACAATTGAATTTTTAACTCCCCACATAATTTCCATGGATCATATTGGATTTCCAAGCACCGGGTCAAAGAGGAAACTATTGAAAGAAGAAAGCAGATAAATTTTATTTTTTGATAAAATTGAAGAAAAGCAAGTTTGCTTCGATTTATACTAGCTTCGATTGAACATTACTTTGGTTCATGCTCATCTTCGACTGAATTCTCCTCTGCAAGCTAGCTTTGACTGGGCATTTGTTTCCCTTGAAACAACTTCCTTTGATTCAGAAGGCAAGGGACTCTTGTTGGTGTTCTTCGATTAAGAAGTTAGTGGCTCCATACCAGCTTCCTTCGATTCAGAAGGCAAGGGCCTTCTGAAAGCCTCCTTCGATTCAGAAGTTAGTGGCTTCATGCTGGTCCCTTTCGATTCAGAGGGAAATGGTCTTTTGAAAGTGTCCTTCGATTCAGAAGGTAATGGCCTCCTACAACTTTCCTTCGATTCAGAAGCCATTGGCCCCTTGCATGATTCCTTCGATTCACAAAGCCAGGACTTACTTCAGGCTAGCAGGCACAAGGCAATGGCCTCCTGCAACTTTCCTTCGAATCATAAGCCAATGGTCTTGCATGTTTTCCAAATTTGCAATGCAGAAATTTCCCTTCATGTTAGCGCTCACAAAGCAAGGGGCCTCCTGCATATAAGCTTTGATTCCCTCTTGAAAACCTTCAACACGCATAGTCTCTACACTATGGCATATCTGGGTGTCCCATTCGAAGGACATGAATTGACATACCTGGGTTCCCCTTTCAAAAGATACACAATTGGTGCATTTGAAGGACAGACACATGGTCCATTCGAAGGACATACATTTGCCTTATTCGAAGGACATGTACTGATGGATTTAAAAGGGAATATGTGGGTGTTCCATTCGAAGGATATGCTTTGTTGGCCCATTCGAAGAAATTGCAAGTAATGCACACAAGTGATGCATGTGGTCCCTTCAAAAGAACACACACATTGGTTTAAAATGAAGGATACACAAAGGACCCATTCGAAGGACACTTTGCTTGGAAACAAATATTGTTGTCGAAAAAGTAGTTTGGTCGAAGGATGGATCTAGTTGGTCAAAATGAAAGAGAAGTATTCAAGATGCTTGTGCTTCCAAGTCCAAGTTTGTTGCACTGGCCACAACACTCCAAAACTGTTGCACA